AATCGACATTCTTCTAACTTCTCATCATCTCCCCAGTAAATCATGCAGTTGTCGATGCAAACGTCTATCATCTCTGAGGGCAAACCTAGACTATATACCAATTTCTGAATCTGATAATAAGATTCAGCAGACACATTGTCTTCTGACAAATACTCTTTAAACAAGTCTGCCCATGCATCCATACATTTTTCAGGTAGATTGTGATCGGTTTTAATACTCATCATTCTAGCAGCCAACGACAATTTAGACAGACCTTCTCTACAACCACTGTAAATTGGCTCATTCGCAGCTTCTAACATTTCGTAAAACTTTTTTGTATCTAAGTTAGGTTCTTCAACTTCATCATCATCATGACTTACAAATGCATCACCTACCATATCATGAACCCTATCACAATCTACCATTTGTTCCTCTTGGTGATGATAGCTATAACTACTGCTACCTTCATTACGCAAATGATCAACCGGTTCAACCTGATTACTACTGCTACCTTCATTCCTACAACTAGCATCTTCTNCATTTTCACGAGGGCCTAATTTGGTATTGCAACATTTCCGACAAGGACAGAACATCTTACCACTTTCCTGCGTGAGTGGTGTAGAATCTGCTTGATGCATAAACGTCTCCAACCCTTCGAGAAATTCTTTCGTCACCCTCCCGTTATTATCTCTGTGTGAATACATCCACTTCCGCAACTCGAAAATACTTCCCGGACCAGACATTTTTTTTTGTTTGATCAAGCTTATAGCTGATTTTTTTGGGTGTGTTTCAAATGAATCACATATGGTGGTATTTATAGAAATTTTTGAATCTGAGCATTTACTAGGAAATTGCTAGGAAAAGTAGGTACAAAACACGTTTTTGATTAATATTCTATATTTTCTATCCATTTCCTCTTAATTTTGTAGTAACAAATCCTTTCCTCCTAATTTCGTAGTAAAGATTTACCAGGACTTTACGAGGAAAGGTTCTACTATGCCTTTACGAGGAAAATAACATTTTCCTCGTAAGGGCCTCGTAAATTTACTTCCACTTTACGAGGAAACGCTTTTCTCGTAAGTTTACGAGAACTTTACGAGGAAAAGAAGTTTTCTCGTAAAGTCGAAGTAAACTCGTAGTATTTTTACGAGGAAATGTTTTCCTAGTAAATTTTCCTAGTAATGGCTTAGGTTTTTTGTAGTGTTCTGGCCGCAATGTTTATTTAAAAAATCCGGCCACAAATTAACAAAAGAGTTACCTAGTCTAGTGGTGTAGTTTGGAAAAAAATAGGTTTGTTGTGTGTAACTCGGATTCGAGGCCTCTCTAGTTCAAGTTTTTTTTTTTTTTTTGAAAAGTGGCCTTCTTTTTTATTTTTGCTTGTGGCCTTATATAACCTAGGACCGGCTCTGGTTTCAAATATTTTTTTTTTCAGGTATCCATTTATGATTTTATGCAACCTATGTTAAACTGGATTTAAACTTGCTCACATAATAATTTTTAGGTTAAACAATTCGAGATGATATGATATTGACCGCCGGTCAACGAAGCGAGATGGTGGTGGTTGGTGTGGAAGCAACAATAGTGTAGTGTCACTGCGTAGTGTCCTTCAGTACAAAACAAGAATTTGTTTTAAGTTTTTTGAGAAAATATGATTCATATAAATATAACATTAAATTTTTGGGTAGTAGATTTATGCTGGTATTAGAATTGGAATATGATAAATTTCTTAGAATTTTCTTAAACTATAAATCCCTTTGTCAAAAAAAAACAATTCTTAAACTAAAAGCGCACATTTAATTTTTGCAGATAACCTGCCAGAATAAACTAGCAAGCGATTGAAAGTCTTCCTGTTGGCTGATCTTAATCTAGCAAGTTCCTTATGACCACCTTTCATTTCTTAATGATTTTTTTATATTTCACATCTTTAGATAATTTGTTCCTTTTTTACTCAAAGTCACATGACAGTTCATATGTATGCATGGGCCTTTGATATATAAGAAGACAACATGTTAATGTCACGTGAAACCTTAATTCGAGTTTCAATTTCTCAAGATTTAAGCTAGGGTCAATAGTTGACATCTGAATATTTTAGTGCTCAGCTCATCTAGTGAGTGATATGTATAGTATCCACCAATGGCTAAAAAACTTAATAGTTGACATAAAGAAAACACTTTAAAGAAAATGATTATACTTTTCTATTTGTAGTAAAGAATAATATCATATTATAAACCAACTGGATTAAGTCAACCATTTCTGAACTACAAATACGTCCACAAACGCTCCTCGTTTCTTCACACAAATCTCAATTTCTAAAGAGTCATTCATTCACTATAAGTTAACTCGAAAACGTTAAAATGGCGATCCAAAACGCGATTCTAAAACACGCTCTTATTATTTTCCTCTTCATTTTAGCAATTTTGGCCGAGAATGCGTTCTCACAAGATTGCGTGTATACTAGTTGTCCTGGCCTAAAGCAATGTTGCAGCAGATGGGGTTACTGTGGCACCGAAGAAGATTACTGCGGATTCTTTTGTTTCAGTGGCCCTTGCAATATCAAAGGTAAATCCTATGGATATGACTACAATGTGGATTCAGGTCCGCGTGGTAAAATAGAGACTGTCATCACACCAGCGTTATTCGACAGCATCATGAGTAAAGTCGAAAGCAACTGTTCGGCAAAAGGATTCTACACTTATAAGGCTTTCATTACCGCTTTCAAATCATTTGGAGCTTATAAAGGAAAAGTAGCTAAACGCGAGATTGCCGCCATATTTGCTCATTTCTCTTTTGGATCTAAAGGTAAGTTTATTATAACATGTATTTATTTATTTATTTATTTATTTATTTATTTATTTATTTATTTAAAACATCTATTTATTTTTTCTCTTCCATTTAAACTTGCGGTCATAACCTTTGAAATTAGTTTTCTTGTGCTGATGTGCAAATTAAAAACAAATATCAGAACCAAGAGCCGGTCCTAATCACATATTTTAGTCAAAAGTAAATATATCTTGTCCCACAAATTATATGAATCTAACGTACATATATCGAATGACCCCCAAACTTCAATAAAAAGATTTCTCAACATTAATTTTAAAATGTTTACGGCCCCATAAATTTCAGAATTGCCCTTTACAATAATTATCACATCTATACTACAATTTTTTTTGTTAATTTGGAAGCCTCTAACTAATTTTATTTTATGTAAAGGCTTTTGTTACAAAGAAGAAACATCGCCCGACAAGTACTGTTCAAAGAGCAAAAAATACCCTTGTGAACCGGGGAAATACTACTATGGTCGCGGTTTGCTCCAATCAATCACGTGGAACGAGTATTATGGTGCGGCTGGTAAGCACCTAGGGCTACCTCTATTGAAGGATCCAGATCTGGTGGCTCGTAGCCCAGAAGTGGCTTTCAGATTCGCCATGTGGTTTTGGAATAGGAACGTGCGTCCGGCTTTGTACTTAGGCTTTGGAGAAATCACAAAGAGGGTCGATGGTCGAGAATGCAGTAACTGGCGTCGTGATGGTTCCAAAAGCAAGGTCAAACAATACATAGAGTTCTGCGAGATGCTTGGGGTCACTCCTGATCAAGGTCTCGATTGTTTTTAGTCACGAATATGCTAGCACTACCACTTAAACAAATATATATGAAGTTGACATAAAAGCAAAAAAAATAAAATATATATATATATATATATATATATATATATATATATATATATATATTTATATATATCAAGGAATAATACGAACCTGTCAATGAATTTTATAAATAATTATACGAAAAACTTCAATAAATATTGTTTTTTGTCTTCATTTCAAATACGAGAAATCAGTTCAGTTAAGACATAGTAAAGCCTTTTGCAATTTGTAAAAAGTTGTTATGTAGACAAAAATCTTAGATAATATGATAAAATAATGACTAAAACAAAAATATTAAAGTACTATAAAATTGTATCTCAAGCAACGATAGTTTAGTGATAGTTTCTTTATGTTCTCGTTAAAAGAACCCCATCAGTGAACCTGGGGATGGAGGTTCACAACTTTTTTTTTTATGTTTTTTCGTTTGAGTTTTTTTATAAAGAAAAAAAAAAAATTGGCCAATCGCGGGCCGTCACGTATTATGAGGTCCGTGGAACAGTGATGATACAAATTCATCACAGAGAACTTCAGCGAGCCAAGTTTATCAATTATATTATATTTTATTTTTATTTTTTCTTGGTTTCTGTGCGAGACACCCCATGAATCTCCAGTGGGGGTGCTCTAAGTTACCACATGGGTTCATCAAACTTTGAATAATGCTAATGACTGAATAATAATAGAAAAAGAAGAAGTATGCAACATGGGGAGAACATGCAAGGATGAAAAGCAAGAAAATGTGTACAAAGAAGGTGATTCAAAAACCTTTATTCATGCTATCACAGTCACCCACCAAGCCACCAACCCATATCCAATATTTAGTAATCATTCAAGCATAGAATAAGGTTGAGAGAGACTTTAATTATTTGTTCGAAATTTTACCCAAAATGGTTGATAGATCCGGCTACTAAACAAAAGAGCAGCCTAAATTAGGGTGAAAAACTATAAGTTGCTTTAATAATCAAACTGAATCCATCACACTGAATATTATTCCTAGTATAAATCCAGATGACGAGAGCATGTAGTTTATGTTTTCACTGATGTTTGATTTAATAAATCTTTATAGATGATGGCAAAATTCCAGTTCTTAATAATTATATTGTCAAATACTGCACATCTAGCTAGTGAGCATTATTGTATCTCCACTACTGGCGAGCAAAAGCTTATTGTATTTTGTTGTTGGTGTAAGTAATTGTTATATTAGTTACAAAGAAAGAATTTCGAACTAAATTAAATAAAAAGGACTTAACTAATCGTAAAGAAATAATTAATATATGTTATTTTTGCTAAAATAGTTTCAAGTAACACGTAGATGATTAGGTTTTGCATTACTTATACGTTCACAAAGCAACCTGTTTTCTTCACATAGCTGATTTTACAACTAACTCCACTAAAAGAAAAAAAAAAAATGTCGAACCGAAAGGCGACTACTGAAAACGCCCTCATGTTTTTCCTCCTCGCGTTTGCCGTCATGGCCAAAACCGTATTCTCGCAGAATTGCCAAAGCACCGGGTGTCCAGGCCTCAAGGAGTGTTGCAGCTCGTGGGGTTCCTGTGGAATCAAAGATGACCAGTGTGGCTTTTGGTGCTTCAGCGGCTCTTGCAATCTCAAAAACAAATCATATGGATTCGACTACAACGTCGGTGCCGGTCCACGCGGTCCAATAGAGAGCATTGTCACACCATCGTTGTTCAAACGCATCATGAGCAAAGTAGGAAACAACTGCCCGGCAAAAGGGTTTTACACTCACCAGGCTTTTATCTCAGCGGTTAAATCGTTCCAAACCTATAAACGAACGGTGGCTAAGCGCGAGATCGCAGCCATGTTGACGCTTTTCGCTCATGGATCTAAAGGTAAGTCGACTATACTAGCCAAGGGTTTTCATGATATCCACTCTATCCATGGCCACCGCAAAATTTACAAACTGTGGCTGCTTTAAAGAACCTTGATCAATAACACATTTTGGTTGTGAACATAAGCAAATTAAACAAGAAAAAAGCAAAATCATTTTAAAGAGAAAATATGACTGAGAAAAATACCCTTTTATGGTTTATATATTAACTATGTGAACAAATCTTTTTGACTCCGTATTTATATAATGATATTCATTTTTTAATGAAAACATTTTTATCTACAAAACAGTTTTCTTAATCCCAAAACTGTTGTGTACCAAGATTTAAGTCACTCGAAAAAAAAAAATTAATACTGGGATGTACTAATAGGATGTTTTGTGTTAATTCAAGGCTTTTGTTACAAAGAAGATAAAGCTAGAGGGAAGTACTGTTCTCCGAGCAAGAAGTACCCTTGTCAACCGGGAAAGCAATATTATGGTCGTGGCCCGCTTCAATCAATCAGATGGAACGAGTACTATGGTGCAGCCAGCATATTCCTTAGGTTGCCTCTGTTGAAAAATCCGGATATGGTGGCTCAGAGCCCGGAAGTGGCTTTCAAATTGGCATTGTGGTTCTGGACCACAAATGTGCGTCCAGCTTTGTACCTAGGATTTGGAGAAACCTCGAAGAGAGTGGACGGTCGACTATGCGATAACTTACACCCTGAAGATACTAAGAACTTGGTTAAGCAATACGTGGACTTGTGCAAGATAATTGGGGTCACTCCTGATGAAGGTCTGGATTGTTAAAACAACATCAAATAATGTATATATTAATTGGAATTAATTATAATTTATTACTGAGGATGTTAAAGTTTAAACGTCATGCAAATTAATCATGTCAAACATGCTGGCAGCCTGGCACACGGATTTCTGTATCAAGAATCAGGTCCCTGATTGGTAGATAAATGTTCTATATCAAACAGTTTTCTCAGAACTTTTTTCTATCTAAAAATATATAAAACTTAATATATATATACTATTATTTGCGAAGTGATTTTTCGCAACGGAACTTTCACGTTAAAAGTTAGAGTGGTTAATATCGATTATACCCTTAATGAATAATTAAAAAATTTCAATATATAATTAGCTATAAATCAAAACGAATTTCAGTGGTTTAAGATTTATCCTTATCTAAAAATATTTTCTAATGTTTTAAATAGTCTTTATTAATCTTGAAAATAGTTTTATTTGTTAATATATAATTAATTATAAATTAAACATGAATTTCATTAATTTTATAATTATCTTTATCTAATTTGTTTATATTGTGTTATAAAATCTTTATCAACATTGAAAACTAATTATATTTGTTAATCTATAATTTATCATTAATTAAAAAACTCATTCATTTGATAATTATAGATAAAAATAATAATTTATATTGTGTTATCCAAAAAATTAATTTTCATCTTATTTTAAAATTAAAACTAAAAAAATTCCTACATATTATTTTCTATATATTTTTATGTATACCAGCGTATTTCAAATTTATTTACGCAATAAAAGATATTTTTATTATACTCAATTTTTTTCATATGTTAAAATTTGATATTAATTTATTACTAAATATTTTAACTTATAAGTTTTTTTAAATTTAATTTATGTAATGGCAATTATTATATCATGATGAAAAACATAATATATAAAAAAATATTATTAAATATCTTGAATATATAAACAATAACTTATTTTAATGTTACTTAAATTGATTGCATATTTATTTATAGATATTTGTAAAATCATTAAGCCCGCATGTGCGGGCAAAAACACCTAGTATAGTTTTACTCCACGTTCGAGTTTGCTCGGCCAAGAACTCATCCGATTAAAGGGTAATCCAAATCAGTGGCGGAATCCATAATTTTTTCTCTAACGGGATCAACTTTTAATAAAGTTTTTAAAATATAAAATATATTTTTATATTTATCTTTGTTTTAGAAATTAAATAAGTAATAATTGCTTAAAATATTTACCAACATAGTTTTTTAGTTGTTAGTTAAAAATATTTAAAGAAATTGAAGCATTAACCAATTAAAAGTTAAACTATAAATATAAATGCTAAATTTATCTGTGAGTTTACTTGGATCTCTTTTTATGAATTACATTGGTTAAAAGGAAACGAACACCAGTTAATAAGAACTAATGAAAATTCATAAACGATGAATCTATTCTCTTTACATAAAGTGGGTAAAATTTAATCTGGGCTCAAAATTAATATTTAGTCCAAAACTAAATCCAAAATGATGATTTTTGTTTTAATTATGCTTTTGTTTCACATTTTTTTCTTTGTGAGGTCATCTGAAATTATTAAATGAGATAACAAAATAATTTTAATTAGAAAAAATGCATAAACTTTCAAAATAAATGGGGTAAGCTAACTCCACTTCCACTGTATAAGCTCCGCCCCTGATCGGAATGTCCCCGTGGTGAAGAGAGGTTAATTGGTGAGGCTTGAAAAAATTTGAACTTTGAAGTTTCCAAATCATAGTATATGTTATTGAATATATATATTGTTGGAATAATATTAGGTTGGTGAGTTGAATAAATTTTCTAAGGAACGGTCTAACTTAAAAATCATGTGAAAAGTTGTAATTTCTGGTTTAGTAGATGGGATATTACTAATGATATTTCTTTTGAAAGAAAATATACAGTGAAACCTCTATAAATTAATAATGTTGGGACTACACCAAAACTACAAATTTTATTAATTTATAGAGATTATTAATTTATCGAGATATTAGTTGAACCAAAATTCAATTCGGGGCTATGAAATTATATTAATTTATAGAGATATTAATTTATAGATTATTAATTTAAAGAGGTTATACTGTATTAATAATGCCTGCTAGCCCATGCCTTTTGGACTTAGTGTGGTTGTTGACCCAAAAAAAACTACAAGAGATGGTTGGGCATCGCAGCCCATTATAATTTGTTTGTCTGTTTTTATCTGTAAGGTATTGAGACCTTTAAACGTAAAATGCAGCTGTCATATTAACTTCTCTGTTCAACCTCATTGAAATATATAGCACAGTTCAGAAAGATTGGAGGTATAAATTTACTGCACCATTATCAGTGGTCTAAAAATCGATCTAGGTGACGCCTAGTCGACAAATCGGATATGAACGAAATGATTTTTTAAAACCGAGATCTAAATGTTTAAAAAATCGGCTAGACATGCGTATAGCAAAAAATTGACCACTAGAAATTATTAGTATATCTCACGTTGTACAATCTATAAATTTGTGTGATTATTTAACATGTCCATCTAATTAACTATATAGTACTTTTGATTTATTAGACATATATCTTATTTACTAAATCTAAAATAACCCAGCTCACCACATGATATTTTATGTTTTTCAGTGACATTTTGAGCTGAGATTTATATAATAACAAAAAAAAAAACTATGAATCAAAATTAATTTTTAGGCTATGAGTTATCTATTTAATTGTAGTACAATTTTAGACCATCTTTATATATAAAGTAAAGTTTTATCCCTACTGGTTGAGACACGTCATTAAATCGATTCATTAGAGACTGCCACGTGTTATGTACCTAAACCGCATCGTTTCATTTACTTTGATCGACATATAGGTTTCGTTTCATTAGGCTTTGTATCTTCTCACAATTGGCCCAACCCGAGTCCAGTATGTCTCAGTCTAAAACGCGTATTAGCTGTCGTTTTGCGTTGTCCAAAGGAAAAAAAAAAGAATCTGTCGTTTTGCTATTAGGGTTTAGCCTGTGTACTCCTCTGCCATTCCAGAGCAAGACATAATTTGAGTTCCATGAATGTTGTTTCATCTTCTTCCTTATCAATCCACAGAGATATCGGTTACTGATTAACCTTCAAGTCCTTAAATCCATACCTCATGTTCTCCCCTGAATGCGATTTTAACTCAAGTAAGGCGATGGAATTATGAGAACCATCTCCGCATTCCATCTTCAAAAACCATTAATCTTATTTTCAGTATAATGGTTCTTCCACGATTTTCTTCCTGGGTTGGGAGAGGCCAAGCTCATCCTTTTATGGGAAGATCTCCGGATTGATGTCGAGATGTTTATCAACGAAGAGGTAATGATTCAATTTACTATTCCTAACTCCATTAGAAGAATCAAAAACCTGACTAATTGTATTTACATACGCCACTGTGATTACATAGTTTGCTATGCATAGCAAAATTGATTGTTGCATCGTATTGTTTCAAAATTTTCAAAAATAATGGTGGCTCTGTTTTCCTGACTGGTGACTTCAGGGTCTTTAAGTGTGACAGTGGCATCTAGGATCAACAATATGCAATTAGTAATATTGTGGTATGAACACATCATCTCCTGTTTTTCTACCTATCACACAGATTTTTTTGGCATTTAGTAATCTGAATATTTTTATTGTTTTATGAGGATTGTATCTATAGCATCAACAATTCTTCAAAGGAAGACCATGGATATACAATAAGTTAAGTATCTCCTATTTTCTGGTCTCTGACATTTGTTTTGTGTGCATATTTAACAAATAACAAAATTCAATACCCCAGTGGTTCCGTTGTAATTGCATCAGTTTTAGTGTACTAAATGAATGATTTTTTTGGGTGGATATAGGTCTGAACCGTTCGAGTCTATTACCTTTAATGTAAGTGGTGGTAGAATGAACAGCTCCAGCTTTTGAAGCGAGCTTTAGACTGTACAATGCTCTCAAGAAACTTGGCTTCACTATCTATCTGCTAACTGGTTGGGACGAGGGCTAAAGGTGTCACAAAGACTAATCTCCAAAACGTCACTTACTTCGATATATTAAAATTGGGTTAGAGCTTTGGCACAAGAAACTGGATTTGGTGTTTTATCTGCTTATGTTGCAGAGAAATGTTTGATATCCCAGTTTATAGAAATGAAGGTTTGCTGCAAAGGTAGTGGACACCATGAGACTTGCAAGGGGGAGATGTCAAACTGAGGCGCTCTCCAAGATGATTAACTGAATCTTAACGACGCTTTGGTGGCATACAAAACAGCCGCACAAGCAGCGTCTCAGATTCAGGGAGCGTTCAGGGAAGGCGTTGAAGGCGGGACAATTAAAATTGATCCAGTTTTGCCATCTTGGAAGAGGAGGCTAAGAGAAAATGATCAAGATACATAACACATTCTGCAAATATTTATGCGTAGGATTGTTAATTATGCACGTGACCACTGGAATAGTAATTTTTCAATCAAAAGACAAGAACCAAAACGAGTGAATATATAAACCCATAGTTTATATTTCAAGTTATTTATATTTCATATATTTTTTTTTGTATGTAGACTTAACACAACATAAAAAATTCTTCTCCTTAAACTAAATTCAGCACATTCAATTTCATTGAAAATATATATGTACGAGTTGTGGCCAGCGGCCCAGCAACATACTAATATTATGAGCACACTAATTTCTTTTTGCGAGCCATGCAATTAATCCAATAATCAAAGAAAATAGTATCAAAAGAAATGACTCAGTTAGATATATTATCCACCCTTTAATGATATAGTTTAGGAGCTCTGCGCGCACATTAAGACGCATGAAATTTGATACACTTAAGCTTTTCAGACATATATGACACGAGAGTCCTCCAAACTTATGTAACCGAAGGAGGAATCTTGCTCCGAGCTGGTGATGTTGTCATAATCATTCTCCCAATCATCATATGTCTAGAATCATATGTAACGGTCGTTTAGGACTTTTTAAAATTCAACAAAGATATGGAAGGTGTTATCATGGTAGATATATATATATATATATTTGCATAGTACAACAAAAGATATAATGTACAATTACCTGACAAAAAAATAGAAATGAAATTAAAACAAAAAGATTAAAATATTTATACCACCGTAATAAAAACTAGAATACAACTTCACTATTAATTGCAACCATCGTTTTAAAAAGTTTAGTTAACCCAAAAGA